ACCTTTTATTCATCCACCCATTCAGAGCCCACGAAGCCACGCAGACAGTGGGGCTCATTATGCTTTAAAAACACAGACTGGCCCATTAATGCTGCCTCATCTATCGCCGCTCTCTTGCGTAACCAGTGAATGAGAGCTGACAAGTTCAAAAAACCATCACAGGCGAGTGAAAACACAAACACGAGCACGGAGACCTAAAAAATGTGCGCGGTGATACTAGTTGTGCATATATAAACAACAGTGGATTAGAAAAAAGATAGTAAGCAAATTAAAGCTTAGTCACAAGAATGTATTTCCCACAGGAATGACATTTTATCCTGTGGGAACAGCGAGACAGGAATTCAGCCTCCACGGAGGACTAGTCTGAACATGCACCGATCTGGCGCTCGCCCAAGTGCCCGGCTAAACCCCAAAGTAGGCGACAGTTCATAAAACTACAGATCACTTTATAATCATAATGACATTACACTCCATTAGAGTGTAAGCAGGTGGCAGGATGAGAGAGCTTTGTGTGTATTTGGTCAGCGAGGGGGACCGACCTGACAGGCTGCGGCATTTTTAAATCCGTTAAAAGCAACTGGTGGCCCCAAACGCAACAAAGGACATGTGTGACCTGTTTGGACTGCTCATTCACAGAGCCGCTGGTTTGGTTTAGCAGGAGCACTTACATTCCTCTCATGTTCGGAGTTTATTTGAGCATAAATGCATTAGCGGGGCTTTGATAACAATATCAAGCCAAGCACACACTTCCTTTCCCCTCCTGTACCAGCGCACGCAGGTCCGGTAGCATTCACAGACATCACCGGGAACAATCGTGACACATACCAGCGAGTGCACGGGAGCGTTTGACATCCCTGCACGAGAGGTCGGTCAACATGTGACTCGTAAATACACACTCGGCTGCGTCACCTCAGGTTGGTGCTTTCAGTCCCGTGACTTAAGCATGGCGCTTCACAGGCCAATGCTCTTAGGGCAGACTGAGGCCAAACGGCTTGCAGGTCCGACTAAGCTGAGCTCATCAGGGAGATTTGCAATGCACATTTTAGATTTGAATGAAAAGCAGACTGGTGTAGCTTCGGGTTAGCTTGGACGTGGGGTTAAACTCGGGCTCCTATCTGCTGACATTGTGGGAATTAGTTTAATGTGCTCTACATGCAAATGCAAACTGATATCAGTGCGCTGATAACAATCGTTTGACCTATAAAGCGCCATACGCAAGAAAGTATACTGTGTAAATACAATGTGCCGGCTGCTGGTGAAGCTGCGGAGGAAAGTCATTTTTAAGGTTTTATTTATGCAGCTGTCTTTTATTCAGACCAAATCAGAGTGTGAAAACCCCGACGCTGACTGTGCCCCCCCATGTTGGAGCGCCTGATGCTGTCAGGCTGGGATGCATGTGACAAAAAGGCCACAGAGGCCGTGACAGCAACAAAACCACAGCAGTGCCTTTGAGTAACCTCTCCCCAGGGGGAATCCTCTTACAGCACTTCCCCTCAACTCTTTTCTAAAGAAACATTGTTATGCGCGCATCGCTGGAACTCAACAGGTTAAACATAAAGATGCAGAAAGTGTTAAAAAACAAAGGCTGGACTTTACGGGAATTAAATACATCATCCCATCCTGTTACTTCCTTTCCTGACTGAGGTCGTCAGACGGAGCAGATTTCTGCAGCTTATGTTTGGATTAATCTGACACTTGTTCTCCTGATGCATATACACACAGTTGCTAAAAATGGATTAATGATGCTTGTGGCGGCTATCCAAACATAGACTCTACTTTCCTGATAGAGCCGGCACTAAAACAGGGGTAAAGGATGCCTTAATAAGGGTGAGGTGTCTGGACAATGTCTGTTCTTGCTCCCATTTAGGAACTCTGTTTCAGCCAGATAAGGATCAATCATCATTGCCCTCACCTTCCTATCCTCTCCAGAGATAAGGTTGCTGAAGGCACACGTCAGTGAAGTTACTCAACAATCCTTTTGTTTTTCCCAGGTTCGAATTTGGCGAAAGACAAAAGCACGTTTGTCACCTTTCTGACAAGATAACCGCCATCTCAGCCCTTTGGTGGGAGACAGAACCGTGCTTGTCATTAAGGACGTGTTGATCTGATATTTGGATAAGATATCCAAGTATTAAGTTGGTGGTGTTTCGCTGCAGCTACTCTGGTCAAAGTGAGCGGACGCACCTGAAAAGCTGCCACAGCGACGATGCTTTCACTGTCTTGGTCTCGCTTTGTTTGTGTTCGGTTCTTGCTGGACTTGATTTCACTTCAGCCGTCTCCTGTCTGCTCCAATCCACGCTCGATAAGTGTGTGTGAGGAGCAGGTAAAGGATGCGCACTCAGACTGAGAGGATGTAACGGACAAACCAGCGCGAACGCAATTAACAGAAACCTAATGACGCTCACGCTGAGCTGAAATGAGACTAATGAAATTTAGGTGAATGAAGTTAAGGAAGCTGAGCTGAGTCTCGGTCTGTTCCACACAGTGAGGATTTACATCTTACTCATTTGACCTGGTTATCAGAGTTTTGGGTTCTGGATCGGATTGGAAGTGGAAAAAAAATCGGATGAACACACACTTGCTGCTACTCTTCTAGCTACTACTGAGTAGATGAGCGAAGCTTGGTGAAAATAAGTCCATCACTGAAGTTTACGTGTCCAACCTGCTTTACAGACACAGAGCTTTGAAATTTGATAAGCCAGGATACATTTATGGAAAACGCTGCAGGACATTTAGGCTGTTCTGCAAAAGCAAAAAGCCGCACAGTAAGACTGTATTTACAGATGCACCGATTCCTCAGCAGCTGCAAGGTGGAAAAGAAAAATCGGAATTACATCCTATTCAGGCGTTTGTATTTATTGAATGCCACCCTCACCATTAAAACACTGCTGTTGTGTATTCAAGACTATATTTGGAAAATGACTAGCAGCATATCTAAGCCTTATTTCAAAAGCATCACAATGAGCTAAAAATGCATTTACTGAAAACATGGCGTGTTCTCAGGAAAGTGCGGTCAGTTCCCCGGGGGACGTAATCCCACACATGACATATGGCATACCAGTCACAGAGCACTGCAGGTCCAGCTGGGAGATCTTGTGGTGAAGCAAATGTGCTTCAGGACGTTTCCAGTCCAAACACATAGAAAACAACAACAGCAATGTTTGAATTGAAAGGGATCAACAGTGACAATAAACATCCACCAGCGACCACTTGATCCGCTGCAACAATGGAGGTGTTTAACAACAGCTTCAATACACAAGAGCAGCCCCTGTCCAGCTCGGGGAAACAGCCCGAGGCGAACGGGAGCAAAGGTCTGCACTGAGTGCTTCCTGAGACTTTCGTTTGGCTTCTGTCGCCAAACAGCAACTCTGCAAACAGCCGTGTTCGGTGTTGGTGCGAATGGTCAACAAGCGTGCGCTTTCCTTCAGTTCGACACCGTTTGGCTTTGGTATGAAAAGATTACACAAGGTTTCCTTCAGTCAAACAACACAAGCGGTTACGTGCTGTGTTATGGCTGTGGACGGTGCAGCGGTCACTGAGGACAGAAAGAGGCCTTTTCTTCTCTGTGAAAACTGGTGGTAGCTTTTGGCCCTCCTTTAAAAAGCCTCTTTGCTTTTCTTTAACAAAGAAAATGCTGGCGCATGAGCACAGCCGACCCAGGAAGAGGTTTAAATGACCAAAGGAAGAAGTGCAATATCACAGCGCTTCATTTTTTTGCAGCTCTGACTGCTTAAATGCAGATCCACCTGCTTGCAAAGTTATTGTGATGAAAGTGAATGTGATTCAGCAAAGCCAGAGCAGTGACGCTGGAAGCCTCTCAGGTATAAAAACAAAACTTCATCAACTGTTGTTCATGCACCAGCTTCAGCAGGGAGCACTTCCCTGAGCGTGTCAGTGCATTTCAGTCAGTTCTTCTTCTGATGTGTTTGCAGGAGTCTGCAAATCCAGTAGTTGGGACCTACAGAGACAACTGCTGAGTCAGATTTTCAGGTCACTGACAGTAGTGGGGCCCATATACACAACTAATCCTCCATCCACAAATGCCCGTCAGGCTCTTTTCACAGCACACATGGAAACTAACCCCTCACAATCCCCTTTAACCCCCAACTATCGATGCGCACTAGCAGGCACGCCTCATTCAGCAGTTAATACACCACCGCCTACTAACTGTTACACTTCCATAAAAATACAGAAGTTAGCTTAAACTTACAAATCAGTATATGAAAAAAGTTTCCAAATGTCCTTCAGAACAAAGACAGACGCTTTGATCCCATCACGGAGAGCCTGCGCTTCTTTTTCCTGGCTGATGACCACAAACTTCAGTTTCTGAGTTTGGCATCTCTGCAGCTACTCCATCCACCACGTAGCTTCTCGCGCCGCACGCCATGCATACCTATGCTGTGACTAAAGTCCGGTTCAGAGAATATTTATGCCACTAGCATACCTCTCATTCCTCTCAGAAAATTAAATTAAAATCAGTGCAAACTTACAGACAAATTATTCGGGCTTTCTTTAGAGATTTTAAAGCTCTAAAAGTCCAGAGTACAGTGAATGTTACACATCAATATCACTTTATTTAAATAAAGAAAAAAGCAGCAGCAAATATAATGAGAGACACTTGGATACTGTTTGTTTAGGACACCAAACTTAGGACAGTCAGTGTATTTAAGAGCCAATCAAATACATTTCCTTTGTTAGCACAGTGACAAAATAAATCTCATTATCAAGTGTTATCAGTAGTGAGAGTGGCATGTCAGGGGACTGCTTACACAGCCAAGTGTCATTTCTTTGTCCTTCTTGTGTAAGTGAGAGTCAAAGAAACGTAGTCCCATTGTTATGCGCCTCAGTGAAGGTATGCTGTCACGCAGTTTCTACGAAACTAAGAGCAGATAACCGAGGAGCGACTCACACAGAAGCCTTTGAACAGCTTCTCTTTTAATGAAGTCAATGAGATTTGTTTTTCAGACTAAAATCTAATTTTTTCAAAGTGGCTCACTTACCTCTCATCCAGTCGACAACTTGCTTTGGCGTCCACTTGGTTATCGGCTCCATGGTGTGTTCAGAATAAAATCAGAGAGAGAGAAATGAGCCGAAATGTGGCGGCGCTGATGAAGAACTCGGAGAACTGTTTTCTGTCACATTCTTCGCTCCAGCTTCGCTCTCAGCGTCTGTTTGTGTTCACCAAATGAACAACTGTGCGCACACTCGACCGGGAGGCTGGACTGAAATCCCCCTCAGGTCCTCACCGCTCGGGTTGGGATTAATGCTGCATTCACGTACTGCCGGGAATACTCGGAAAAATCACAATTATTCCTTAAATGCCCAGTGAACCCCGATGATTAATAAAACACTGATACACTTAACAAATGTCACAGTTTATATTTTCACACAGTGCAGATGCCTTCATAATAGTGCAAAAACTAATACCGAGATATGAACCTCGTTAACATTACATCATGTTTTTCTTTCTTTCTTTATTGTAATAAACCAATTTTACAATTTTCTAACCAAAAACCACCAGAACGCCCGAGAGGTGATATGAATTTACGGAGCGTACCTGAACGCACCGTATGATGTAGGTAGTTTCCGTGTGTTCGCCGCCCTCATTTGAAAGTGGAGGCGTGTATATGAAACAGTGCTGACCGGTTTGTGTTGTGTTGCTTCAGGAGAAAAAGGGGAATACACAACAATGTGAACAATCACAATTAAACTAGAACATTTTCGTCCGTTTGTGTTGAGCACTGCAAAGGCCTCATAGATATGATTAAGCTATTGACCTAATGTGACACTAGCTGAATTTGTTCCCTTATATTTGAATGAGCAGTCGTCAAAATACAACATGTGAGACAAACAGGAGCAGCAGAGCTTTGCTTGTGCTTTCCTGGAACCTGAACATGACTCAGCACTGCTCTCTGCTGGCGTCTTGCTTCTTTGCAGCTTACACTCTGCACACTCTATGCACACGCAATAATATAATTAATATTCCCCATTAGCTCATTTAGAATGGACACACTTGTGCAGTGCAGAGAAAATGAAGTGCAGGCTACGGTGGGTCTGATAAGGGAATCAGTTGTTGTTCTTTTTCTCTCAAAAATCATTTTAAGAGCAGAAAATGACTTTTTAAAAGGGGAATTTAAATGCAGAAAAATATTATCAGCACTATGCTGAAGGTCTTCCTTTAAAAATCTTTATTTGTGATTTTTTTTCTTGCATGACAGAACTGGGACATATAATATGTAACACGATGCAGACTGGGATTGGACAAAGCAGCTGGTTCAGTGGGTTTACAGTGCTGCAACAGGTGGACACTGCACAACAGCGCAGAAAGCGTAAAGGTCACGTTATGGGGAATGTGTATGTTTAAAAGTATGAGCCAGGGGATATATAAAATTTGACCTTTCGTGGGAAAAAAGGTGCAGCATCGTGGTGGCTGCAGCACAGTGTTGCTTCTTTGTTGTGAAGTTGTGTAACTCTTTTGTTTTTTTAGAAATTTATAAAACCTCTCAGTCAAACTCCAGCGAGCGACCTTACAAAGAAAACAGCGCTGCTCGCTTCTTTGTTTTCTAACAGTTTCAAACACACCTAGAAAGAGTTCGGGCCCTACCCATCAATCCACTATTGTGCAGCTGCACACTCTGCTCTCTAATCAGCTCAGATTAAAGCTCTGCTGTTATTAAACTGGGGCATTCATCAATTTGCTGTCACACATACACTGTTATACAACTCTCGATTTGCCTGGCCTTCTGTTCTTTGTTCAGACGTGCTGCTTTCCAAAATATAGTTTGAATCCAACCCCTTTCTTTGGTTCACATATAACTAAACCTCTTCATCATCTCTGCATCATAAATATTTCTGCCTCCAGCAAACAAAAACCTCCTCGATTTACACGCGAGTGGTCCGGACTGAAGAGGATTTAGATGGTGTGGAATTCAGGGAACGGCCTCTCGATAGGATTAGGGGAAAGACCGGTGAAGCCGAGGAATCAAAAAAGTGATTTGAAAAGATGTTGGACTGGAAGGAGAGTCGACTTTTCTTTGTTGCAGGTCAGAAATGCAGAGAAAGTTCCCGTAGATCATCCTCACAAGGGCCAGGCTTTAGAGGAGGAGCTGCAGCACGTACAGCAGTCTGGATCTCCTTAAACACGACAACAAAGTTGTCAAATGATTAAAAAACCAACTCAACTTTGTTTTCTGAATCAACATTTATTTCAGTCTCCAAATACAGGAAGTCCAGTTTTGGCAGAGTATATTATTCTGGCATTTACATTAAAACCAAGCTAATAACGTCATATAAACAAAGACAGGCACATGAAACATCAGCACAGGAAGTCATCCACTTCACCTAAGAGGAGAGGATCTAAAAGGCTAAAGATGTTGTTTTAGTACAAATTAACCACACTTCCTGCTACTGACAGGTTTGTTCTCTAAACACCGAACAGGTTTAATATAGGAGGGGAAATTTCACACAGTGTGGCATGTGTGTCGCATATACTCAATATGTTTGGTAGCAGCTGTGTGGGTGGTCTGACTGTATTTCTCACACAGCATGCCCGACGGGGGATTCTGAATGTCATCAAATGACTATAAGCGAGTGTTTGAGGGCGTTCCAAAAGCAATCCATAATGAAATTATCTCCAATTTAGATCTTAGCGGCTTCATTTACTTCATTGTTACTGAGAAAGTGTGTAAAATGAAAACTGTTTTTAAACACAGCGCTGCTCTTATTTCGACTTTTCGAGGCGCGGTGAAGATCCTCGATGTTAGTGTTGGCGCTGAGATGAATCCTCGCAGTGTAAGGAAGGCCTTTGACTGATACAAAGAGAGCAGTGTTGCAGAAACACACTGATGGGCCTTTGTGCTCGGATTGTTGCTGGGGGCTTGAAATGAAGAAGCTATGAAGCCTCTGATGAGCCTCATCTTTCATTTTACACGCTTACAACTTTCAGACTTTCAAAATAAAAACGCAGCTTAGATCAATATTTCTAAAGATCATCTATGGAAAATGTTCTCTACAACAAGCACTCGTCTGACGCACACAATTTAACCCTTTTATCTCAGTCGTTAAGTTAAGCAGTACACATGCGTCTCCGTATATAAATAGAGGTTAATGCAGCGTATGCTCTGCGTCTTTAAAGTGGCAGCTGAGGCTCTTTACTACAGTGACACATCAAAGGATGACGGGTTTACAGGGAGCTTTAGGGGCTATTCTGTGGATTTGGAGGAACAGTGGGTCTGGCACTGAGGTACTCCAAAACAAAAACCTGCAGGATCTTATTGAGGTTCTCAATAGTGGAACGGTCCAGGTTTTGCTCGTTGTCATCAAACGTGTGCCACACAGAGGGAAAGGGGGAGGGGATAAGGTGAAGGACCCGAACACCTGCAGAGAGGCACGTTATGAGGATCACCAAAGAGAACAACACAGTAAAGGCAACTGCTGATTTAGTTAACGTGTTGCTTGAGGGTCGTACCTCTGTTTAGGAAAGGTATATGGTCATCCAGCACATGGCCCACGTGGTGATTTGGCCAGAAATACTGCACGCTGTTAGGATGGTCCACCAGCTGGCTCATGGAGTGAAGACGCGTTTCTAAGTTTAGAAAAGGCAGAGCAGAAAATAAAAGTTCAAAGGTTAGTGAAAACACCTCTCATGTTAATTATTAATAGTAAAAAAATAAATAAACAATTTGCTGTATTTTCTTCTTTCAGCTACTCATCTGCCTGTTTCCTCCTCTATCACACCAACCGTCTGCATCTCCTCCTTCGATACCTCCTCTCAGGTCTTCCTCTTTTCCTCCTGCTCCATATTTAGCATCCTTTGTCCTTTATCTCTCCTCTGCACATGCCCAAACCATCTCAGCCTTCTCTCTCTGATTTTGTCTCTAACTCCTCTCTCCCTGCACCAATCAGCATGGCTGTATCTGTCAAGGTGCGGCTGCGTGGTGGCAGGATGTGGGACCCAAACACAGGATTTACAACACGGGAAGTTAACTGAAAACAGCGGCTTTATTGCTGGAAATAATTCTACACATTTACAGAAACCATCCCAAAAAGAAGGAACTGGAACTAAGGAACTGGAAACCAGAGAACTAGGAATTTACTAGGAGTACAGCGGGAGTAATGAGGGAATGGGAAACAGGAGGGAGACACAGCTGGGACTAGTCAGACACAACGAACGGGGAGGAAGCAAAACTGAACACACTGAACACAGAACAAGGAACTATCAAAATAAAACAGGAAACATGAGACCTTCACTGTGACAAGAAGACATGACTGACATGTTTCCAGGGGAATCAGACATGAAACGTGGAGACAAGAGTAACGAAACGTGGAACACAGGACAGGCATAGTGACGGAAAACTAGAGACTAGAAACTGAGCATATAACACACAGAGACACAGACTTAAGGAGACACGGCTGACAGGGAAGACAGATGAGTAAACATGGAGACAGAAGAAAACCTAAACTATAGACGTGGAAGGCAAAGGAACAAAACCTAAGAACTTGGAAACACAAAGAACTTTGGAAGCTAGAAACACAAAAGACTAAACCCCGGAAAGCTCTAAATCTAAACACTGGGTCACCAGGCCAGCCCGGGACCGTAACAGCATCCATGCACGTTAACTAGTTTCCATTAACAACCCATTAAGCCACAAACCCATGACTGTTATCATATTAATTTATTCATAATCTCATTGAAATGTTGCAATTAAAGGATAACATGTTACAAAGGTGAAAAGCTTCTATATGGTGATGACTAATAAGACTCGTGTAGCTGCATTTGGTGATCGCTCAAACTCGCTGCACCAAAGACAGCATATTACACATAAGCATTAGTGAATGATTATTCACCGATGTGCTGAAGTCTGGAGAGCCAGGCTGTCGTGCTTGGAAACTGGTTGCCAAAGCGAGGACTGGGAGCGCCGATCAGATCCAGCAACACAAACAGATCCTGGAGGAGCAGAGACAGGACGGGATGAATGATGCCCATCACCTGAGAAACTCTGTCTACACACCCCGGCGGTAATTCCCCGTTAAGCAGCTCATTCCCATAATAATCACACATCAGCGGTGCTGCTTTGAGGTGATTACATCACGTGCTCCATGGTGCTGCACATAAAACACGCCTATCTGTCTTTCTGTCTGTCTACACGCTCACACACCAGCTATGATGGGAAACTTTATCTCCCCAGTTTTTGGATAACAGCTATCTCTTTATAGCGTGGATACGGACATATATAATGACATCATACTTTTATAGAGCGTGTAATAACTTCTGCTCCGTATAAAGCCCTCTGAGCCTCCCCGGTGATAAAATAAGTGGCTGCGTAATTCTTTCAAATACAAAACTATTTAAGAAATGCACTTCAGTTGTTGGAGTGTGTAAGAGGAGATCAGGGCTAAGCAGATTGTACTGAAATTGATGTTGGCTAACAAAAGGATGATCTTGAGTGTGATTAAGCGATTATCCTAATCCTCCGTGATGTGGACAGAGAAGAATTAGGAGAAGTGATGTTTACAATGCCGTGCAGTTGGTTGGTGTCTGCGGCTCCTGGAGGATGCGCGGTGGCCTCCATCTTCTGGGCAAGGTGGCGAGAGCCGTACAGGGAGTCTGTGGCGGTCCACTGAAAAAGAGCCTCCTCCCCGTCAAAGAAGAGTAACTGCAGGGTCAGGTTGGAATTTAAGCTCTAAACAGAGTAAAAACAGAAACCAGTAGAATTACTTTTTATCCAAGAGTTTTACTGCCATCTAGTGTTGTTTCATAATACTTGACAGAAAAGTAACAAAAATGTTTTTTAAGGGAAATATTCATTTTATTCTTTTGCTTCGTTGCTCTTTTCTAGAACATATTTTTAAACACACGATTTATCAGCTCTCATATTGATTACGTGTCCTCTCGTCCACAGAATGCATTTGAATTCAGTGTGCTTCCTATTTCCACCGTGACCTCTGTGACAGACAGTTGAGTGTGGAAAACACGTCCCCTGGCTGATCTCTGTCACAGACGATGTCACTGTCCGCCCAGCAGACAGGAGCTCAGCTGTGGAACAGGAAAAGGGCAGAGGAGCTAGCTGCATGAATGCTAATGTTTTTTTTCTTTTCCAATGCATTAATACTGAGCAGAACAATTAAAACGTGTATGTACTAATTAATTTAAAACATCCAGAATGTAACTTGAAATGTTGCTCTTATCCCGATCTTGAGTTGCAGCGTGGACGCCTGCAAGTTCACAAACGAATATAAGAAATATTCAGTGTTTGAAATGTGTACGCTACATTTACATGAGGCATAGGAAGCCAGCCGTGCTGGAGCAGTACCAATAGCTCTGGACTCACAGCCTTCATCAATGCTGGTTAACTCAATGTGGAGCTTTGCTGCTTTGCTGTGTCACATCTCTGCTGTGAAAAGCGTCTGCATCCTCTTATTCCCTGACTCTGTGAAAGCTCTTAGCAGATGGCACTGGGCAAATTCTTATATTTTCATCATGTAAGGATCAATACGAGCAGTGAATTGATCTTAATAAAAAAGTGTGTGTGTGTGTGCAGCACAAAGCTGTGAGTCTTAAGAAGAAACACTCTTAGTTGTTGCCTTATTGACCTTCCTGCAGCAGGGCAGTGATTTCTGGTTTGTGCGCCATAATCAACAGGTCGCACACATCAGTCTGTTTTCACTAATCGTTTCTGCCTGATGTTGTTTCTCAGAGACGGGACAACACTGGAGGAAAGGCTTTCCTAAACGTTGCTCGATGATCGGTTTCTCTTCACGTTCCAAAAGTCGTCAGCTCCCTTTTGCTTTGTGCTTGGATGAGATCGCGTCTGACAACAGCTTCTACAAAGTGTTGGATTCTCATTGTTGCTGTTTGTGTTTTCATGAGGCGGCTGTTCGTTTTATGCATTATACTTAGTTTTAATGTTGTGTGGATGCATTTGGAAGTCCTGGCGTGTGATGGCCTAAGTCTTTGTGCACTTTTTTACTTTTCTCTTTTTTAATAAGTGTAAAACACAGATCTAAAGTCTCATATTTTCCTTTTTGCAAGAGATCCTAACTGGTGTTTAAAATGCACTGGTGTACTGGTGGGAGCTGAATTACCACACAATGATGAAACAGGTTATAGCACCACCTGTGGCGGCAATAACATGAAGTCTGTGGACATTCATGCACAGCTCACCGATGGTCCCACCGGAGCATTTCAGTCAGGCTGAGGTCTGGACTTTGACTCGGCCGTTGCACAACCTCGATTGTTTTCAGCCGTTCTGTTATAGATTTGCTGCTGTTCTTGGGATCATTGTCCTGTATGCCCTGGTTTTGGCTGAACTTTAACATTTTACATGATAACTGAGGCCTGTAGTGTCTGAGATAAAGCTCTGGGGTCTCTCTGGCCATTACACGGTCTGACCTCGGTTTGAATTCGGTGGGACGCTCCCTACTGGGAGGACCGGCAGCTGTTTTGACTGTTTTCCGCTTGTCACTGATGTTTCTCTCTGGAGAATGATGGACTTCCAAATGTTTGGAAATGACCTTGTAACACTTCCCAGATTGATGAGCAGCAACAGTTGCTTCTCGAAGCTCATCGCTGATGTCATTGTGTTAATGCAC